TCAGTAAGAGTAGCACAAAGTTAATTAGGCGTTTTAGGTCCGGGAATTTTAATTTCAAAAATGCAGCTTGCTCTGGTCGTCCTCATACGGATACAGTCGATGTCATTTTTGAAAAAAATGGAGCAAGATCGGCATATTAACAGTATACATTTCAGACATTAGACAAATAATATAGTAAATTAAAAGCAAAATATTGTCTTACAGAATAAATAAATATATTAAAAAAACTTGTAAACATATTCAAAAATATGATAAACAATAGAAATACAAGTCGAAAATATTATAAAAATAAAGATAAATAACATTTATAAGATAATTAGAAAATTTGTTAAAAAATGTCTGAGTCATAGAAGGAGTTCATATATATAGAAAACTTTCCTAAGTTATGGAAGGTGGTCATGTATAGATGTCTTGTATGGAGGAGCTGCCGGAGATACATACCTGCAGTTGTACATATATATGGGGTAGTCGGATGCACGACTGCTTGAAGTACTGTAACACAATGACTATTCCTATATTAGGGACTTATGATAGTAAACTAAATTATACAAAAGCAATACTATAGATGGTCTCCATGATGAATTTGCATTACAATAGTAGGGTCGTCGGTTGAAGACCTATATACTAATGACTTATGAAAGTAAGGTCTATGATACAAAAGCAATACTATAGAAGGTCTCTATGATGACTGATGATGAAAATGAAATTTAATATATTTATTATTATGAGAGGGGGAAGCGTTACAATCACAAAACACTTTTGAGTCATTTGAAATAATCTGGCTATACAAAAAGCTTGATATTTATACACGAGTTCATTGAAAGAAACCTAATGAATCGTGTACTCATTTGCGATTTTCTATTAAAATGTAATGAAACAGAACCATTTTTGAAAAGATTGTTCAATTGAGTTCCACAGACTGTAGGGATAGTAGATTACATTTCATCCCTGCACTCTGATAAGAGTGATTTTGATGATTCCAACTGTGACCCTCATTTTATTCCTGGTTCAACCAGTAAAGCTCCGAGTTTACTTCGAAGTGGTGCAACAAAATCGTCATGTAGTTCTTCGTCAAGTAGCTCTTCTTCCAGTGGCTCTTCATCATGTAGCTCAGATCAGGAAGCTGATAATGCCTTAAATCCCATTGCATCAACTAGTAGATCAGCAATTCAAACGGTTACAGAGTCAAATGTTCCCTCAGAAGTGCAGGACAACAAAAAAGGCAAAAAGAGGGTACGTAATGTATTAAATTGGAAAGTAAAATAGCTAAAACACTTCGCAATACTGATAAAGCATACCAATCAGCGACTAACAAACCGGTACATGCAAGGAAGATGGGACCGACATGTGGCGAAAAATGCAGGTTAAATTGTGGTTGAAACATAAATGAGACATCAAGACAGAACATTTTCAAGAATTATTTAAGTTTGTGAGATTTACAAAAACAAAGAGAATTTATAATTAGACATACTACGGACATTAAACCAAAATACAGATACTCATCCACTCAAAATTTACGTAAATTAAATACCGCATTTCATTGCCAGCTAAACCATAATGATATCAGAGTCTGCAAAACATTTTTTTTAAAATACCTTCGCAATAAACTACAGACCAATTGCTACAGCATTATCAAAAAAAAAACAGAGACTGGTTTTGTATTGGAAGATATGCAAGGGAAACATGGTAACCAATGCACTGTGGAACCTGAAATCTATGATAGTGTCAAACAATTTATTAATACCAGACATCACGGGAGTAAATTCAGTGTGATAAATTATTAGCCGACTTATACCGTGACTACAAAGAAAATCGTACAAAAGAGAACTTACCATCTGCTTCTGCATCTACTTTTAACCACATTTTTTTAATAAAGATTTCAATATTTCCTTCCATACGCCAAAAAAAGATCAGTGTGACCGTGTGTGTGCGAAAGTTATAAAACTGCTGACGAAGAAGGAAAACAAAGGATTTTTATAGTTTACGAAAATCACTTGAAAGAAAAACAATTGTCCAGAAGAGAGAAAAAAATAGATAAAGTCAGAGTAGACAACACAATTGTCGCTGTCTATGACTTACAGGCATACCAAAGGTTCAAATTTCTTTATTTTATTACAAAAGTAGGATTAATTGTTTTAACACTACTGTGAGCGACTTACATGCTAAAAACGTTGAATGTTTCTTCTGGGACGAAACTGAGGGAAATCGAGGTGCGATAGAAATTGGGAGTTGCATACTAAATTATATAGAAACATATACACAGGCTTATCCTAATAAAGAACTAGAATTCATATTTTACTCAGATAACTGCTGTGGCCAGCAAAAGAATAAGTATCTCCTTGCAGCTTACGCATATGCGGTACAAAAATTGGATGTTAAAAGTATAACCCACAAATTTCTGATTCGTGGTCACTCTCAAAACGAGGGTGACAATGTGCACAGCGTAATTGAAAAGCAAGTAAAGCGCTTCCTTAAATCTGGGCCAATCTATGTTCCACAACAATACGTCACTTTAATTCAGACCACTAAAAAGACGGGCCAACGTTATAGAGTCAATGAAATGACTAATGATAAATTTCATGATCTTAAATTACTTCAAGAGCAGTAACAATTTTAATGTGAACACGGACAGAAACCAAGTAAAATGGCACGACATTAAGGTGCTTTGTGTTGTAAAGGAACATCCAACGACTTTTTTCTATAAGAATTCTTACGAAGATAAAAACTACAATAATGTTTCCGTACGTAATACACGACGAGCTGGGAACCAAACGTTGGATTTATTTTCTTTTGGATAGATACAAGCATATACGAGTAAGATACCTTTAAATCAAAATAAAAAGAGACATAAAAGAACTGCTCGACAAAAATATAATTCCCAGGTCCTATTATGAATCATACTTTCGAGCTGTGATTGATTAGTTTTAACTAATTAAAAAAAGTATTATTATTAACATTGTGATTTGTAATGTTAATTATTTATAACTAATGCTCCTTTAAACTTGTTTAAGTATACTTATTATTGTATAAATTCTTTTGCCTAGGTCCAGTTTAAAAATTACGTACCATTACTGTGCAATTACAATAGTAATTAATTATTTATATGTATGAATATGTATGAATAATTATAATATTTTAATTTCCCCTGTTTTTTACACTAAGACAAATTTTGTACTTGTGTTGGAAGGTATATTTTGTTATTTTTTTATTTAACTGAGTACAAATGTTTAAATAACATTTTTATTATCTTTTTTATAAACAAAGACTGAATATGTGACTGTTTATCTTGATTACCTGGTTTTATTTATCAATGTCCTAACTTTAGTATGAAAATAATTAAGTTGAAGTTGGAAAACCAAATTAAAAAATTGTTGTAACTCAAAATGTTACTCAAAACCACAGAAAAAAAGTCACCTTAAAATTGTAGTAACTCAAAATGTTTCGACAATAACTATACAACAAAAAATAATTCATCTTTTTCATCTAAAAACTTTGTTCCAGATAATACAGTCTTAACTCAAAAATTGGTAATTATATTTATTACCGGCAAATTTAAAAAAAAAAACTTAAATGATAATTGCGTTAATTTTATTAATAAACCTAATAAAGCCTAATAAATTTTTTATTATGGTATTTGAAAAGGATGAAGAGAGAACGAAACGTGAAATATGGGTAAATCAGGAATGTCTAGAACAGGTAAATGAAATTGTATACTTGGGGAGTGCTTTCAGCCGGGATGGAAGATGTGATTTAGATGTGGATAGGCGTGTCGCTGCCGGAAACAAAGTCAATGGTGCCCTGAATGCATTAGTAAAAAGGCAAGGCGTGGTGAAGAGTGCACGCCTTGCAATACATAATGCAGTGTTGGTACCGACTTTGTTATATGGCAGCGAAACCTGGGTATGCCAGAAGAAGCATAAAAGCAAGTTGAATGCAGTGGAGATGCGATCTCTTCGTAAAATGTGTGGCGTTACCTTAGCCGACCGAAAGCGAAACGAAGAGATTCGCAATATGGCAGGATTGAAAGATGACCTTATCACAAAAATTGATAGGGGCGTACTCCAATGGTTTGGGCACGTTGAACGAATGAGTGAAGACCGAATGGTGAAGAAAATATATAGAGCGAAAGTAAATATTAAAAGGTGTCGAGGTAGACCGAGACTAACTTTCAAAGACCATGTGAGCAAATTGCTCGAAGAGGGGAGGATCAAGAGTACTCGGATACCTAGACGTGCATGTATGAAGAAGTTAATGAACCTGAAGGAAGCGAAAGTGGTATGTAAGGATCGTGACACTTGGCGATCTGTTCTCTCTGGCTACCCCGTTAGGGATTGTGCGTGAAGATAAGTAAGTAAGTTAGTAAGTAAATTTTTTATAATTTATAACAGAAAGTGAATAACACATTTTTCGACGATTCTGAAAATATATATATATATATATATATATATATATATATATACATTATAGTGATATATATATATATATATATATATATATATATATATATATATATATATATATATATATATATATATGTCACTATAATGTATATATATTAATGCAGCTGTATATATAATAACGCATTTGAATTTTTATTCTTAGCCGGGGTAGATGTCTATGGGCCATAGCTCATCAGGTGACCTGTGTGATGGTTTGTCATGCTTTTCCTATAAAAGAAGTAATAAATTTTTATAAACAAAAATTTATGCATTATGACAGAATAAAAGTGTTAGAATTCTTAGAATCATTATGTTTCTATATATCCTAAAGGTCGATTATAGGGAATAACACAAAAGATCACATGGATAACTATAGAAGACGATCCAGTATAAAGAACCTGGGAATTTTAAATTTAGCGTATCAATCTAGGCAAATATCCCCTTCGATGCAATCTATGGGGACGTCCTGTGTTCGGCAATGAACTTTGAATAGTCTTTGATGATGGTGATGATAATTATGACGTAATGTAGCGATACGCTAAATCATTTTAAATACTTATAATGGCAACATCTACGAGCGTTAGAACTGATATTAAGATCGCAAATCGCTTGCCAAGCGTGGTAAATATGAAAAATCCTACGTCAAAACTGACTGACTTAACGGCTTAAATATAGTTTTCCTCATTTTCAGTAATAGTTCTCGGCTGTACATGGACCTCTCCCGTTGTAGGAAAAAATTATCACAATTACCACACTTGGTAGACGGATTTTTAGTCATATTAGCAGACACCTTGTACCTTCGGTATTATTTCTCATAATCATTCTGGCTATTTTGCAACTTGCGTGTTATAATTATCTAGAATTTTCATTAGAAAAAAATACTTGTTTGAAACAAAATACAAAATTTATGTAAATGATTTTCACTTAGGGCAACTTTTTAAGAAATTTCATTAGAGGCAATTAGAAATCCCAACAAAGTACCCGAAGTAACTTTACTATTTGAAACTAGTGAATACATTAACATTAATGAATTTCGTATTGATTAATAGTGAAAATATTTTAGAATCTCGTGGTTATAGATTAAAACTTTTCATTTCGAATGAAATTCAGAAAGATATACCCGTAAGCGATTACCTTTGGAAGAATTATTTAAGTAGTGGATTTAAACAAGGATTTGTACAACACTATATTACAAATGAGGATTTTACGACGTGTTTTAATAACAAAACTATCAGCATTTTCTAAAAATTGCACGCTTCATGGAGTGCGTTACTTTTATGAAAGTGCCGACATATGGGCTTATATGTTTTGGTGTAGCACCATCACTTTAAGTATCGGGCTGTGTACTTTCCTAAGTCATATGATTTGGAACAAGTTCATTACCGATCCTACGTTTATTGTGGCAAGTAGCTTATTAATAGTTAACTTACTATTTACTTAATAAGGATGACCAACGACCACACAGCCCAGATGGTGAGTGCATGCTGTGGCCCATGCCCACCTAAATCTTAACTCGGTCCTCTCGTGACCATTGGTGTAGTAAAGTGCCTGAAACGTAAAAACGTTAAAGTTAAACGCGATAAAATGTGTAAAATTATTTTTATTACCTTTGCCTTATTTGTTACACTTGGCAAGCTTATTTTTTTGACGATTACTATACAAGACGACTTGCTACTTTGATACTTTTGCTTGGCATCGTTCTGGAAATTTACGACTGGCGTAAACACTATGGTATACCGCCTTCTATCGGAAGACATAAGATCTTTCTAGCATTTCCCATAGTTGCCTTATACGACACTCACTGGACTAAATACGATTACTAACGGCGTGAACTAAGCTAATAAATATAAATTAAGTTTCATTGTTTACAGGTGGAGACCACTCATTATTCAACTGAAAATATTCCATTCCCTGCTATTGCCATTTGCGACACTGAAAAAGTCTACGGCCCCAATACAAAGAACATCACAAAGTTATTGTGAGTAATACTTTAATGGCAATTTTATATATTGCACAAGGCTTATGTTTAGGGCATCTATTTGTATTGTTTTTTTCTTGTTGTAAAGTAAGATAAAATAACTTAAAATACTAATTAAGAAAAAGAATAGAGAGCATAAAACAGTTAACAGAAAAGAGTATAAAAGAAGAGTATATGTCACTTCCACAACTAAGAGGAATCTAATGACACCCAATTTGTTAAAATCCGTCAATCAGCTAAGGCTACAAAGTATGCCAAATAAATAATAAGTACCTGGATGACCGCGCATTGCTCGGTATTTTTTTTTTGAAAATTATATTTAGATACAAATTACATACTGATGAAACATGAATAATATTTTTTTATCTTATTGACATCATAGAAAAAACTGAACTGGTTATTTGAATAAAAAATCAAGAGTGTAACGAATTTAATTTTAAATTTTCGTATTTTTAAAAAATTCTAAAAAAAGGGCGCGAAATAATAGATTTTCTCACAAAAGAAGGGAACTTGAAAAAAAATGAATAAATCAAAATTTACTTTCTTATATTGTAGCAGTTTTTTTATTGCCTGAAAACACGGACAAAATACATTTTCTAAAAATGAATTCTAGCTAATTCGATTTATTGCCCCCGAAACCCCTGGACACTAAATTTTATGAAAATCGTTTAAACCGTTTCCCCGTTCCTTTAAAAGGTATAGGATACATACATTACGGAGTTGCAGTATCATCATGATGCAGAGTTAAATGGCCTTTCACTTGCTGCAATCTAATCACCTGTTTATTTTATGTTAACTCTTATATAATATTTTGTGTACATGCATCATTTTAAAACAAGAAATAGAGTTTCTTTTTCTTATTTATTTTTATTTTAAATACTCAGATTAAAGATTATATTAATTATACAATAAAATATACAAGATTCAAGACAATACCAGTGGGGGCGAGCAGCGTCACAGATGCAGAACACCTGATATCATAATCGCTAATCACATGTTAGGCCTGGCGAGATGATAATGACGCTTGGAAGTAATATATTAACGGCTAATAATAATCTATTTCCTCTGCATTGTTTAAATTACAGACAACTACGTGGTTTTGAAGCTGATCATATTAATGAATTTTATCGAAGCTTTACAGAAATAAAGCATAAAGGCTATGTGGTCAAATCGCACATTAAGAAAATTCACAACATTCTGGAAAACCTTGGTTATACCTACAATAACCTACTATATATGGTATGTAATATGGGTAAATAAAGATGTACGATGTATATAATGCCTGTTTTTTTGTGTAAGAATATATTTAATCATGAATATCAGACCATTCCGGCTTAATTTTGATTGAAGTAGACAGCAGCTTATTATTATTATTATTAACTTCCTTTGATCTTCATAATAAGAATGATTATTAGCTTTAATATTTTTCAGCTTAAAAAGCCTTGTGAGAAACTATTAGAGGAATGTTTATGGAGGTCAAAATCATACAATTGTTCACAAATGTTTCGGTCGGTGTTCACTTTTCTTGGATACTGTTGTCAATTTGATCTATCTTACTTCAGGTGTGGTAAAAAACATTTTATAATTTATACTATATACGTTATTTATAGGCTATTATGATGAATTTACCATCAGTTAGATGCTAGATATTTTTTTCTTAGTATTTAACATGAATAATATTTTTTGATCTTATTGACATAATAGAAAAACTGAACTGGTTAATTGAATGAAAAATCATGAATGCAATTAGTTTAATTTAAATTTACGTGTTTATAAAAATATTAAAAAGGGCACGAAATAATAGATTTTCTCACAAAAGACGGGGACTTGAAAAAAAAGGAAAAAAGTCAGACCGAAGACAGGATGCGAACCAGCGCACCTCGATTTCGCGACCGCCGGATATCTTACATGAGCTATTATGATCACTAATACAATGCCAAAATTTACTTTCTCTATTGTAGCAGTTTTTGATTGCCTAAAAACACTTACAAAACGACATTTTCTAAAAATGAATCCTAGCTAGATCGATTTATTGCCCCCAAAACTCCCTGGACACAAAATTTTATGAAAATGGTTGGAGCCGTTTCCGAGATTCCGATAACACACACACACATATATATATATATATATATATATATATTTATGTTAGAACCGCTGAAGGTCCAAATTACTATGCTCAATGACCTCAATAGTGCCTCCCAACAGAGAGTTCTTATAATAAACACGGACAAAACAAAGATCATGTGAAACGTCCATGTTGTTAGTTGTAGGGAGCATTAAGCTCAAAGTTGTTGACGAGTATGTTTACCTGGAACAAAAATTCCGTCTAGGTAAATCAAACTTCGAACGAGAGGTCAATCAACGGATTTAACTCGACTAGGCAGCGTTCGGGAGATTACGACACATCTTCTAGTCAGGCATACCTCAAAACGTCAAAACGAATTTGTACAAGTGACTTATGGATCTGAGATGAGATCCTTCACTACTGGCCGTATGAGGAAGCTCAAGGTTGTTCAGCGAGCTATATTGGCTATGCTTGGAATTCCTCTGCGTTATGAACTTAGAAATGAGAATGTTCGCGTAATAGCCAGAGTGACTGACATAGACCAACGGATTACTAGGCTGAAGTGACAATGGGATGGCCATATAGTTTGAAGAACCGACAACTGATAGAAAAAATGTTCTCAAACGGCAACCTCGTACCGGCAGGCAAAGTGTAGGAGGACCCCCTATTAGTTATTGTGACGACCTGGTAAGACATGCAGGAAGTCGATAGATGCAGGGATCATGTTTAGTTTTCTTGGGGAGGCCTTTGTTCAGCGGTGTACATGTGAAGGGCTGTAATGATAACGATAATGATTCAATGTTACGTACTTACCAAACATATACTTAGAATCAAGATTTAGGGAAGGCATTTCCTAAGGTGCAAACCTAGTTCTGGAGACAGAGCTCATTTGTATTTAAACATATACGTACATACATAAGCACTCACGCCTATGAGTCAGAGAGGTAGGCAGAGACTACAGACTTCCATTTGGCACGATTTTGACACAACTCTCTCGCCTCCTTCACATCCATATGGTTGCTCATAAACATATATGGTTGCTAAGAAACGTTATTTTATTTATTATTTATTTAATTATTTTTTTAAAATATTATCTTAATCACCTTGTGAATTTTATTATTTCAAAGCATTAATTTCCAGAGCACTGGGTGGAGAAAATATAAATTACGCAGCTGGTTCAGATATTACTGAAGCGTTGGATATAGTTGTGAACACTGGGAAATTTGATGACAATGGTATAAATACTGACGGTTATGTTTTGGTATGTTCCAATGATTTTATTTTAAACTAGCTGTTACCCGTGGCTTCGCCTGCATGGTCACTGAGAAATGAACTATCCATTGCTTTTTGAATTGAAAGAAAACTGAGTTTTATAGATTTGTCAGAGATGCAGCCATTAAAAGGAAACTGAGAAAAATTGATTCGTCAGCCTATTTAAATGTTTTGAAACGCAGCGTATAAGAAAGCATGAAAATAGCCTGTTTATTCCAAATGGAAATGGGATATTTTTGTAATTAAAGGAAACTGAGCATAACTATCCGTCAGGGATGCAGACTTTTGAAAAGAAACTGAGCTAAATTGATTCATCAGAGATGCAGTTTTCTGAATTGAAAGGAAACTGAGCCAAATAAAAGATCCGTTAGAGATGCAGCCTTTTGAGTTGAAAAGAAACTGAGCTAAATAGGAAATTTCGAATTAAAAGGGAAGATCTGTAGGAATTCTGATTAATTGATTGTGGTCATTTTGGAAAAAAAAAACTAACTGAATACTATTTTAATACCCTACTGTATACAATGTTATACGTTTTTCCATTCGGGGAAAGAATGTGGAGATTCTGGACATTTGACACACGCGAACATGCTACATACAGCTGACCATGAGAGAAGCCCGGTTTTTCTAAGATGACCCCGCTACCTGTAACGTTTGCCCTTGCGCTTTATTAATTGTCATTGAAAAACTGAGCTTAATAGGGAACTGCAACCATTTGAATTGAAAAGGAAGATCTGTGGGAATTATAGGGATCCGTGGTATAATAACATTTTCACCTTTTCCTACGCCTGTCAAAATTGTAGCACCGATTATGTTTCGTCCAAGATGTGTCACACGTAGCCTTGTCCCGTTACATAGCCGAGGAGCATCTAAATTTCGCATTAACAAAACTAGGACGCCTAATTTTAATTGAAGCTTGTGTGAGGGCACACCTGACAATTTTAGAGAATTTAGAAATTCTACGGTATATGAAGTGCTCTGTTCTGTGTCCATAACTGTGTCTACTGACAAATACTCTGTTATTTCTCCTGCTACTTCGCTTAATATATCTGAATTTATTTTGTTAACGCTCTCAATTTTTGGTGCAAGAAGCGCCCTTTCACATAACCATTTGTTTTTATGCATGTTGTTCATTAAATCTGAATAAACGCTCGCAATTAATTCGGAATGACTCTGTACTAAATTACAAAAATCACTTAGCAGTTTAACGCAGCCCTCAGCATCCGTTTAAAGCCACCCATCGCCAATTTTTAATAGTGAGAAAGCATAGTTTCCAACATTGATATCATTATACAAATGCACTCTCATATTCGTAGTTGAACTGAATTCTGTCACCTTGTTCCATTAAATAGACGACTTGAGGCGTGCTTTAATTTCATCTGCAGGTGTGCCCTTTTGAATGACAGGTAAAGTTTGGCGAAAGTCACCAGCCAGTAAAACCACCATTCCTCCCATTACATCAGTATTACTGCGCAAATCCTGGAGCCTTCGATTTAGTGCTTCTACAGCTTTTTATGCGACATTGTACTTTCGTCCCACACTAAAAGTTTGCATTGTCGTAGCATTATACCTCGTGCACTATTTTTGCTAAAGTTGCAGATCGGCGATTCTTCCTGGGCTAGATTTAGAGGGAGTTTTAAAACCGAATGTGCAGTGCGGCCCCCGCTTAGCAGCATGGCGGCTGTACCGGAGGAAGCTACGGTCACAGTAATGTTTTTATCTTTCCGTATTTGCGCTCATAATAAATTTAAAAAAATGTCTTCCCAGTTCCTCCAGGGGCATCTAAAAAGACAAGTGCACTATTTCCGGATTCAATTTGTCCTAATACTTTGTCAAAAACTCGTTTTTTGTTCGGGAAGCAAGCGGGGTACAAATTCGGCTACTTGCTGCTGCAAAGCTGATATATCGTAGTTTGTTTCACGGATAATTTCATCACTTAGTTCATTTTCGGTTGTTCACTGAGGGCTTATCATTCCAAAGTCCCTTTTTTTCCTACCATTGCCATTACTTTATCTTCAATTTTTCCAAGTGCTTCATTATAAATGTGTTCATTGTATGTCATGTTTGCGTATGTATACTGTAACCTTCGCAAAATATCTTCCGCCATGTACTCTTTATATTTGTCCCACAATTCATGTGCATTAGATAGCCCGCAAGATGATATGAGAGTTGCATAAAAAACCCTAATTTTGGCTGGTGACTGGCGCTGCACATCTTCCTCCATGGTTTTATCCCAGTGATTATCGTTTTCTAAAAGACGCAGAGCTTCACATGCTACTCTTTAAGTTGTGCATTTCTGACCGTTGACAGTTTTAAGGTCTTTATATCCTGTAGGACCCCGAACATGGTTTAGCAACAATCTTAAACAGATACATTCAAAATTAGTAACATGGACGTTATACACACGACCAGGGGCATCTGATGACTTTACACCGTATTCACTCCTTTCTAGATGTGTTCCAAATATAATAGTGGGGGACTTCATAATATAACAACGTTTTTGCAAAGGGCCGACCCCTTTGACAAAGTTGAAAGAAGGCTGTTAGTGTAGTTTTTGGCAGTGATGCAATTCTTTCTTGGAAATTCCTTTCGGTGAAATATACACGCTGTCCATTTTCTAAGTGCACAGCAAGGTGAGTAACTGTTGGGTGCCTTTCGTGTAAAGGGAAGCCAAGGAGATGCCACGCTGCCTCGTTACTGTTGATATAACGCCCTGCTTGAAAGGTCTGTACTTCATTAACGGGATTTGCCTCACCTTCACTCCTGAGATTAAATATTGCTTGGTCGCTTCCTTTATTTATGTACTTACAGATATAATTGATTGTGCGGACAGAGCTACATGCTTCTACATAATGTGGGCATAAAACATTTTACATAGAATGGGCGAATACGGGACAATCCAGCAGTTATCTAAGGTTTCGAACGCTCCAGAGCGAGATTTGATTGTAACTTTCCTGCCACCATCTTCTGGAGCTCTGCGTCTGTATAAAGGGTAGCCATTGTCATTGTGAACTGTTTCTTTTAATAGCTGTTTAGGAAATTTCTTTGTACATTTTCCTTCTTTCATACATGGCGATATTGAATTTCGTGCTCCACATGGACCGTGAATCATATTTCGGACGATGGTATCATACAATTCTTTATCTTGCTCAGGATCCGGAATATCGGCGCTTATTATGTCGTCTATTTGGCTAGGCCGCAACTTCTCTTTAAGCCATATTAGTATGTGGGCATGCGGTAATCCTCTTTTTTGCCATTCAATTGAATACATTAAACACTGTACCTCTCCGAAAATTTTCACTTTGTTAATTACATACATTATTTTTTGTACTTTTAATCCAAATACTCTAGCAACTTAATCTTATCTGTCAGTACTTTTTTGGCCCGGCATTAGCTTCTCGGTTACTTCTTTCCATGTGGGATTGCAAGTAAAAATAACAAACAGATCAGGTCTTCCGTAAGTTCGTACATAGGCGAATGCGTCTTGTGTGTACTCATGTAGGTAGCGGGACTGTTAACGAATGATGAGGGCAGAATTACCATTTTACCTAAATCTCTGGGGTTTACATTGGCGTCGCTAGAAACTGCATCTTGTAAATGTATATAATTTTCTCTTCCTTTTAAATATTTTTAAAATCAAAACAACAAATCCAATTCAAGTCACAACACGAATCCAAAAACTATAGCCAAAAAAAATCGAATCAACTTAAACCAAATCACAAAACAAATCGTAGAAAACTGAAATCGAAAGCAGTACTCAATATAAATATAACCAACGAAAAAAGAAGTAAGTGTATAGGTACCGTATACACTATCCATACTATTAATATTCCTTTTAAATATTGTTAAACAACCTAAAACAACGAAAACCAATTCACGATTCTAAATAAACAAAATCCAACATCAAAGCCAGATTCTAAATATGTATAAAGGAATACCAACCAAATCAACAAAACCGATCCAAGAAAATACACAAATCCGAAAAGGAAACCTTAACCAAATCACAAAGCAAATAACGAACAACCGAAATCGAAAGCAGGTAGTCGAATAAGGTACGAAATAGAAACAATTTAAGCGTATAGGTACCGTATGCACTATAAGTTGACGCGCGGCTCAACGGCGGGATGTCAGGAAACATTTCGTTACAGCGTTTAAAAAACCTAGTAACGACATCTAGCGGAATCAATTTAAACCATGTATATGTTAGTTAATAAGAACGCCGAAAAAATATTTTTATTATAATTTTGCACAATTTTTCTTATTGTAATACAGATTCATTCATAACCACATATAAGAACTGTATTCATTTCCGTTCAATAAATATTACTAAGGCTTATTAATAAGGCTCACTAAGAACTGTTTCTACCACAGTTAAGTAATAGTTGAGGGTGAAAGCGTGACAGGTGGTGATAGTATTTCTGATCCATACTTATAATCACGCCAGTAACCCTTGCGGGGTAGGCAGAGCATCAACGGATTACTTAATATCGTCTGCGAGGTTATCGCCTATTCTGTGAATTACAATGCACCAAAACGTTTGAAGAAAATCAGCTGGTGAATTTTATGTTTTTTATCGCTCTCTTCCCGGTCCGGCGTGGAAAAATACAGATCCATACATTTTTTTATCTTAATTTTGGTTAAAAGATATAATAATCCAGATATTCTAACCTTCTGTGTTCGTCCATCGTACCGTCGTCCGTCTTGTAGAATCACGGTGGCGCCACCTAGCTGAATTTAATTTTGCAACATATTCGATTTTCCCACGGGAATGATATGTTTTTCCGCTAAAAAAAGTAGCCTATGTCACTCTACAGCCAACGAACTATCGCCATACAAAAAGTCATGCCATGCCGATGCTCTGTTGCGACGTGAAAGAAGGACAAACTTTTGCAACATATTCGATTTTCTCACGGGAATGAAATGTTTTTCCGCGGAAAAAAGTAACCTATGTCACTCTACAGCCACCGATCTATCCTCATACAAAAAATCATGCCATGCCGACGCTATGTTGCGACGTGAAGGAAGGGCAAACAAACAAACAAACACACTTTCGCATTTATAATATTAGTATGGATTTCAGCAGAAGTTACCCCGTAGCAGAACTATGAAAAAAAAATCTGGAACTTAGTTTACTAATATTAATTCAAGTTTAATATTAGTAAATTTTTATTAAACATCTTATAACTTGAAAAATGCTTTTCTAAATGGGTTCTTGTAAGTTAATGTTAAGTTTATAACCATCTTATGATATGTTTTCTATTAAAATATTAACATGAAAGGCTCAAGCCCCTCTCATTTATTTTCTCTCATGCTAACCCTGTTGAAGTGAAATTCTATCTTTACCTTAACCATACATTTGCGCTCCATTTTGAATAAGCGTAATATTTGTTGAAGGAGAATTTTTAATAAATAAATAAATAACCTGTGACTCATCGCAGCTGAGCTTGTTACAAGTTTTTTGTAAATTTCTGTAATCTCAATATTTATTGCAATATTCTGTTGTTAAATAATCTAAAATAACTTTAGTACTTCATACTATATGAGTGTACAGGTTATGTTTTTAAATCTTAGTCGTGAATTTACTCGATATTTTATCACATTTGTTAATAATTGTGCTGAACAATGTTTGTGGGGAGATTTAGTTTGGGCGCTGAACTTCGACTTAACAAGGAGGAAATGTTTGAACATATGACCTCTACATCTTTCTTTCCCACATTGCTATTAAACTGACTGTCCACGCTACAGATAATTTCTTTGTACGGTTTTCTTAGCGGTTTTCTAGCGAAATTCATACCGAAAGACTTCTACATACCGTAAGCTCGTTTTGCGTAGATCGGACCAAAAATTAATAACTAAGAGTTAACGGTAACCTTCGTTAACTATGACATCGGGGCGTCAAACATCTCAGTCCCCTGTGAACATGTGTGCCAGAAAGTACCCAAAACATTAGAAGTTAAAAAAGTTAAAATTAAGCGGGATAAAATCGGTAAAATTAATTTTATTCAATGTGCAGTATTCGTTTACATATAAGAAATCATTACAACTTTTCTTATCTTCATCCGGGATTAAAATTCTAAATTGAAGTCCGTAGGATATGGCAGTTAAAAATTTTAATAAACTATCTCTGAATATTAGGAATGAAATTTTTTTTAATTTAATAAGAAATTAAAAATATATGTTATACCTACAAAATTAAAAAAAAATATTAAATTCAGTGACATATAATTTAGTATTCTTATTTTATTTTAACGTATTTTTTTACAATTTTAATAATTTTTTTAAAATTTATAACCGACAACTTTTAAGCGCTAGTTTGAGTTTAGCGCGCTACTAATTACCCGTCAATTGAGTCATGCCAGTTAAGATATAGATCGGGCGCCAAAAGCGGTCGAGAACAGCGGGCCGATTTACAAAAACAATTGATTGATGACTGCAGTTCTCAAAATAAAATAATAAAGTGATGATTTTATAACTGTCGATAATAAACGTTTGCTTTTTAAACAAGTTTGTTTCATTTAGCAGCATTTTAGATGTAATAATCAAGACCCAACTTACAAAAATAGATTTTTAGCGTGATTTTTGTCATAAAATTATATTTCAAAAAGTAAAGCGATGACCACTTCCTTTTATGAATGCAAAATATAGCTGAATTCCTTAGATATGCGGAAAAAAAGCAATAAATTAATCATTTAAAAAATTACAAAACTTCAAACATGTTATATAAGTACGTAAAGAATTTACAAAAAAATGACATGAAATATTTTTTTCAACCTACCTGCCTCATTTTTCAAATATTTTTTTATTTAAAAGTTAAAGGAATTTATGCCCATTATACCTTAATATTCGTTTCGTCGCTAACGCAAACGATTTATTTAATTATTTTTATTTTTAATAAATTATGTTGATAGGTGTGGTCAGTACAGTACCCAAACTCAATTTGACGCCGTTTATCGTTGGCTATTGTAGTGCTTAAACTCAAACGAGCGGAAGAACAATAATAATATTATAATAATAATTTATTTTTCTTTCCACATTAAATTAACAAAATCGAATTTTGACAAAAAAGGTACAAATTAATGTGAGAGACTGATGCCTAAACTAGGCGACGAACCTGTATTTCAGGTCATCAGGTCAGCCATCAGCCAATTTGGTCGATAATTTTTAACTAGGACGTCCCTTTCCGACTCTACCATTCACACCTGCCATATAAATTTGCTTTGTCACTCTTTCCTCATTCATTCTTTCTACATGACCAAACCACCGAAGCATTCCTTTCTTAATCCTGGTCATAACATCATCTTCCAAACCAAACTCTTCTCTTATCACACATTTCTCACCTTCATTTTTCACCCTGTCATTCAGATTCAGCCCCAGTTCGGCCAAATTAGACGGTGTCCGACCTGTCCGGCTTTTGTTAGGCTTTTTATATTTGACCACTTTTTTACCTTTTTCATTTATTACAATATTACTTTCAATTATTGAAAGTAATATTGTAATAAATATTGAATGATTAATAACATAGAACACTGATTCATTTAATTTAAATTTAAGATTTTATGGTAAATGATATAAGCATTGTTTTACTTTAAAAAATATATTATCGTGTTATACTAAGACTGAATAATTTAGGGTCTCCGTCCTTTTTACCAAAATGTCCGGCTAAGCTAGACACAAAAGTAGTTAGTTAATTTAAAATGTATACAAATATGACTACGCATAGTTATATTAGAAATTTAATAAGAGATGTTGCAGTAAAAAGAGCTTGAAATTTTTTTCGCGAGCGGTTTTCCTAAATATCTACAATGGTGCGAACTGGTGCCAAGTTTATAAACCCTCGGAATTAGGTGTCCTTACCTTACTTTTATTATAACCTAGGGTACTTAAAATATCGTTCCAATAAAGAAATTTACCACTTTTCTTTAAGTCATAACAGTAATTGAACATCATAATTAGAATACCTTTCCAAGAAACGTAAATTAAGAAAGTAACACGAACTAGTTAATTTATTAGCTATACTATTGTTATACTACTTACGGATCTATATTACCAGACAACTGATTTTATGGAGAAATATGGTTTAATAAAAAATATTTCTTTTTCACATTTTCAGATGTATATATTCGATGAAAAGAATAACATAACACTCATAGACAGTCCTATAACGGTGACAACTGCAACATATTTTGATGTAACAATTGACATTTGGGTAATGGATTCATCAACAGATGTTGAAGCTCTATCTTTACACAATAGAAGATGCTTTTTCAAAACTGTAAGTAAATAAAATTTATTTTAGTTTCAGATTTTTTTTTTAAATTAACGGCCTTTGCCACTCGTACTCTGATTTTAAATCAACTTATTATTCAACAAATTTTTGTTATGTGGGCGAAAACTTACAATAAAAATATTAAATTTTTTGTTAGATGTCACATCAATTAAGAAACTTAGAATGGAATGTACGGTTATATGATTGAAGGCATCTTTTATAAAATTTAAGTAAAAAAACTAGTTAACAGTTCACCTGATGGTAAGTAGCTAATGCCCATTAACACTCGTACTCTGATTCTAAATCAATTTATTATTCAACAAATGTTTGTTGTGTGCACGAAAACTTACAACTGTAACATTAATTTTTTTGTTAGAAACTGTGGGGTTTTATGATTGTAGGATCCATTTATAAAATTTAAGTGAGAAATTAGCAAATAGTCCACCTGATGGTAAGTAGATACCGCCCATGGGCACCCGTAACCAAATTCTAACAAAGAAAATGACAGATGCCTTGCCGACTTAGAGGACAAAGTTGTAATGTCTCACAGCCTGTAGTTGCTCTCTATACCTGTCAGACCTAAGCACAGCAGTGTATGTATTGAAGCTTGGTGTTAAAAGCAAATAGGATATAATATATAGCATATGTTAGAAAAAGATAATAGTAGGATATCACGGAACGGAATAAATCGGGATGTCATTAGTAACAGAAACACATTCGTGCTATTGAAGACATTCAGAAAAACTTATTGATTACCTAAACTACACATATTATGGATTTCCCCAAAACTATATTGATTCTTATAAACGTTTTCACCTCTTAATATTTTAAAAGCGTTGAATATTATATGATATGAAGTTCATGCATAGCCTTTGTAATGGGAGCATAGACTGTCCGGACTTACTATCCAAAATGTTGTGTTTAACTAAAAAACTGTCCTAGAAAAATGACACAACAAACGAAGCTTTATGCAATAGCTCATATAAAAACAAATAAAAGTGGTCTAGGTGCGACCCGAAAGATCCACACGACTAATTTCCCAGTGGAAAGAATAAAAAATATCATATGTTATAATGTTTATTGCAATTTTTCATTCGGCACAAAAAACGACTTGACCAACTTTGCAAAAAATTTTATGAGGTCTAAGTTACATCATAAGCTTTAATTGAAACTAAATAAATGTAACTAATTAAATGGATGTTCCCATGTCAATATCACTCTTTATTCTCGAGATACACAAGGCGAAAATTGAATCCAAATATACATACATATATACATACATACGTACATGTGCACACACGGACATCCTCTTAAAAACCATAGTATTCGACTCTAAAGACCTTGAAACGTGGAGATATGTTAAAATTTCCAATTAGCAAAATCGGACCCATTACAATAACTTCCCACTGGGAAGTAAATATTTTTTGGAGGATAGGGTGACAAACGAACACACAGTACACTTGATGGTAAGTGGTTGCTGTGGTCCATTGACATCTACATCTATCCTCGATTACGAATCTAAATGCAGATGCGTTGTCACCACGGGTGACGGGATTAAAATGGAATGCCTCGTTTCCAGTAAAAAGGTCTCCGGTTCTCTACATTCACTATACGAAACACAGCAGCATTAAGCTACTATTTTACGCTGGTATTATGTGAGAGCGTGGTCCTTCCCCGGTCGAGCCCACCCATTCGTTCTACAACTATACTACTAATATAAACGCAGCATGGCCCTAAAAATTATAAAAATTATGCCCAAAATTCATTAGTATCTCGGATACATAGAGAATATAACAAATTTTTTTATTGTGTAGACATATTCTATGGATGTAAACTAAATTTTGTGCGAGAAGTTTTGAAAATACTAAATGACTAGGTATTTCATATCACATGAATATACACACATAACCACATAATATAACACACGTACACACACACAGACACACACACACACACACACACACACACACACATATACACACACACACACACACACACACACACACACACACACACACACACACACACACACACACACACACACACACACACACACACACGCGCGCGAGTGCGAACACATACAGCTTAATTGATATGCATAAAAATGTAATAAAATTTCGTTCGGTTAAAATAAAAAGCTTTCTACAGAAAAAAAGAAATAAAAATCCTTTTTCGCGGTGAGATTCAAATGTACTAGTGCACACTGAAGTGATCGAGAATAGAATATTTTGGATTGACAATAAAACAATTTACAATTTACAATAAAACCTTTTTTAGAATTTGAATACTGACCTCTTAGAATCACAGACATTCAAACAATTAAAAAAATGTTTAAAAACAAAAACTATGTGGGTTTAAAGTTGACGCGTCGTTAACAGAAATGGAGCTCACGCGTGAACATTTCTGTGCCATAATATATCACAATTTTGTCGCGGTTTATAACAAGATAAATGTCTCAGCGAACTTATTTCGATTTATGATGTTGAAGCACCAAATCAAACAACAATATACCGGTGGTATGCCGAGTTCCAACGCGGTCGTGTGTCGCTCAGCACTGTTTCTTCTGCAGGTCGACCAAGAACAGCGGTCACGCCTGAAAAAATCGCAGCTGTGCGAACTATTATATTAGATGACCATCATGTCATATACGAGCAGGTTTGGGCTGTTATCAGTATCGGAATGACTGCAATTCAGTCGATATTATATAATGTGTTGTGTGTAAGAAAGCTAGTTTTCAGCTGGGTTTCCCACAATTTGTCCAAAGAGCAAAAGGTGGCTCGTGTAGATTGGTGCCGGTATACTCTGCAACGCTTCAACGGAGGGAAGTCAAATGCCGTTATAATATCGTCTCAGGTGACGAATCATGGACTTTCATACGAACCTGAAAGAAAACAACAGTCAGCAGTTTGGGTCTTCAAAGACGACGTCAAACCAACGAAAGTCGGTCGCTCCCGCAGCGTGTTAAAGAAAAGGGTCGCTACGTTTGTCTCGAAAAAGGAGCATGTTGCTACAATTCCTTTACAGGAACCATCACCCTGGCAGAACGGTTACCGCTGAGTGGTACATAACGGTTTATTTGCCAGAAACGATAGCCGAACTAATAATAACCAGAAACTAAAAATAACCAGAAACATCGCATCATCTTACATCACAATAATGCGAGCTCTCATCGAATAATACGGTTCGGAAGACAAATGATTTTTTGAAGCAGGAAAACGTTGAGTTGATGAGCCATCTTCCGTAAATTCCTGACCCGAGCCCAAACTATTTCTTTACATTCCCTTGAATGAAAGATTTGTTACGCGTCAACGGTTTGGAGACCCCGCAGCATCCGTGGAAGCGTAAAAATCAGCCATTTTGTCAACGTCAACTTCAGACTGGAATTACTGTGTTGATTGGTTTGCACGAATGGAAAAGTGCATTAAGTTGAACGGAGAATACTTCGAAAAACAATAAAATACAATTAAGCTATACCGTGCCTGTGGTTTTTCTTATTCCCGATCATTTCAGTGTGCCCCTTGTTATATGTAAGATAGTTAAGAGAGTTCGATCTCGAGCTTTGTATTTTGTTACATAAATAAAAAATAAATAACCTCGTATCCATTCCATTTGATGTTACATATATTCTTGTATTGCTGGTAATGTATTTGGAGTGTAAAATACAAATTAATACCTGACTGAACTTACTACATTGTATTACAAAATATTAATGTATGAATTTATTATCAATTTAAATGAGAGTTAATTTTAAAGCTTAAAATATCGTTTCTAGGATACGGATTTTGAAGCTACCTCATTCCGAAGTTGCTTGATGAACCGTGTGATGAAAGAAATTGTGGAACAATGTCAGTGTTTGCCTTTCAATATAAAGAGTAGGTTTGGTTTTTAAATATTATTTTTTGTAATTTATGTAAAACTACGAAAGTATAGAATTCATATTTTATTATCATTATCACAACCATTCGTAAGTGTGATACTAAAATTATATGCCCCCCCAAGGCACAGTCCTGAGCTACCTGCATCCATTGACGATCTCCAACCAAGTCGTCACTCCATCTAGTGGAGTGTCACCTTACACCTCACATAGTGGTATAAGACTGCCGCTCCAAAGATTCTTCCAATCAGTTGTAGGTTCTTCGTGCTATAAGCTAGCTTATTGCCACTTCAAGTTAATGGATCAGCTATTGCCAGTGACGCTTCATCAGGGAGCCTCCGCTCTAAATCGCCGCATCAATCAGGCCACTGGACTTTTGATTCATTAATACAAAAAAAAAAAAAACAAAATATATAAAAATTAATTTCTGTCCCTTAGTCTCGCAAAAACTTGAAAATTGATTTTGATGAATTTTTTATGTGGATTTGAGTGGTAAAGATTAAATTAAATACTATTTTGATGCTGATGAACTTGTAACTTGTCAACTAAATTCCAAGTGGACTCCTGTACGATCTGGCTCGTATGATTGCACTCGGTTAGAGAGTACTCCTATAGTGAAAACTCGTTACTTTTACCGTTTGCCCAGCTGTGAAACGTATATAGGATGTTTTAATACTTTGCACTTAATAAAACTATTATTTACGGATTTTTTTCGCGTTTAATTACTTTAATTTATTTTTATTATTATCCCGACGTTTCGGGTGCTTTACAGCGCCCATGGTCACGGCCCCCCCGCTTCACATCAGCTATATGTTCCAAAAGCGAAAAATCCCGTACGAAGAAATTATCTGCAGTGTTGAGGATTGTCTGTTTAAGAATAATATCGGTAAGGAAAAAAAAAAAAAAGGAACATATAGCTGATGTGAAGCACCGACGCTCCGGGAAGTCTGCAGTCTGCGAACATGTTCAAGATCGTCCCCACCATTACATTAGATTTGATAAACCACAAATTCTCGCAAAAGAACACCGATTCCTACCAAGGATGATACGCGAGGCTATTGAAATTAAAAAAACATCCAAATTTCAATAGAGAAGATGGTTGGGTGCTACCATCTGCTTGGGATCCTGTAATTAACAAAATTAA